GCGGGTCTCGAAACCCGTGGGCTCAGGCAATCACTCACCTCAGCCTCCCAAAGGCGCGGGATTACAGGCTGAGCCACCGAGCCCGGCTAGATAATGATTTTACTCTTCTTGGGCTTCCCCTAGAGTTACCGGGGACATACTGTATCCATTCATGCCCTACCCCCACATAGGAAGGAGGGACTCATTTCCTGTCACCCAGGGAAGGGCTGAGCTGCGGGGTTCTGTGTTTGTGCTGAGTCAGGGGTGCCCACCCTGGTCCTGCCCCTCTGCTCCCTTCGCTGCCCTTCAGGAAAGGCATGGGAGGGAAGTCTCTGGGCACTCACCCACGTGATTGGTAGCCCCATTTTGCCTCTCGTTCTCGTCCACCTGGCACTTCTTCTTGGCAATCTTGTGGAGGATTGAAGCCTTTTCTCTGAACCTCCCTGAAGCAAGAGAAAGTGGCGGGAAGGAGACAGAGTGAGGAGTAAGATAGAGTCTTGTGGTGATGGGTGAAGCCCTGGCAAAGCAGGGTGTGTCTTTCTCAGTTATGCTGGGCCGTGGCATGGCCACTCCATTCTGTCCAATGCAAAAGCCCCATGACCACGGGAAGGGCATTTTCTTACCTTCATGGATTCTTCAGGCCAGTTCTCTATTTGAGAACCTCTTTCCTTCCCTCCCAGTTGCTCACAAAATAAATAAAAGCACTAAGCATCACTAAAACTCTCCCCTACTGTTGAGAGCCAAAAAAGGTAGAAAGAAACAGAGTTTCTCTGGCGGCATCGCCGTTTCTTTGGAATTAAATGCTCATTCCAGAGCAGATTTTGACAATGGGCTGGGAAGGAAAGTCAGGCCCAGGGGTGTCTTGGTTTGATTTTGGTTTTCAAACGTTTACAGGTTGAATATCCCTAATTCAAAAACCCAGAATCTGAAATCCAAAATGTGGCCCCAGACATTTTGAATAAGGGACAAGCAGCCTGTATCACGAATCACACTGCAGTTTCTAAACAAGTCAGGAACGTGCATCGCAGGTTTCCAGATGAGCTGAGTCAGCTGCAATTAAAGCATCAAAGAGGCAACTGCTTCCATTTGGGAATTTAGGGCAAGGAAGGATCAACGGAGCACAGCAAGTAACGTCGGTGATGAGATGCTTTGGGAAAGGTGCTGGGGAAAAAGACCATTCTCAAAGTAATCATTTTAAACAGCTGTACCACAAGTGCACGCTTCATTTCTTCTTCATTATTGACATAATTAATGGGTAAATGCATGCAACAAGCACAGAAAAAAAGCAGGCAGAAGTGTAGCGGTTAGGGAACCACAGCACATTTCTTTTTCAATCCTTGATTTTCTTCCTTGGAAACAGCCAAGGTAAAAAAGTTTCTCATTTTAAACTGACTGATTATTGCCTAGATTTAGATGTTATGAGTCCCTCCAAACACCACAACCCCTGCAATTTTCCCACCAGGCATTTTTTGTTGGCTGTGCTCCCCGGCAGCATATTCACAGGAGATCTCATTCTACTTTTTTATTTAGAACCAAATCAAACCACAATGTTTCTTCTGGAGAGCCTCTCATCCTAAGATGGGACGTGGCAGGTCTCCATCCATTCCCCACTCCCCCACCCCAAGGATAGGAATCAGGGTGTGTGGTCAGGGTGGTGGCTTCTATGACTGGTTGGGTGTGATTGAACCTGTAAACTAGAGTTGGATCAGTTGACTCCCATGGCGAAGGTGACACAGGATGGAGCCCTGCCTGCTCACAGCTCCATTAGTCACATGCCTAGACACCTTGCTGCAATAAAAGCAGTCTCTAGGACCTTTGTCTGGGCAATGAGTGTGCACCAGAGGGCACATTCTTAAAGGAAGTGGGAAGGGAACCATTACATGGAGACAAGGCCAGCATGGGGCTTGGGCTTCCTCAGGAAGGAGAGAGAAAGATGAGGTTTACCATCCTGGAAGGGAATTTGAATTCCGTTGTTTCTACTTAATCTCCAAGGGAAACTCTGGGAAGAAAAAAGGGAAAGGAAAGAAAGCCTGGGGGCTAGGAAAAGGAGAAAATAAAGAGAGCAAGAAAAAAAAAAGAAAACAAGAGAGAAAAAGAAGGAATTCAAGGAAGGAGGAGGTAGGTGAGGGGCTGGGATTGCCTGGAGGTTGCCCAGGCCACGTGGATACAAGACACTTTCCTGGCTGCCAAATCTAGCCTTATTTGAGGACTAGACAAACATAATAAGAGCGATCTTTAGTTCTCTGCAGTCTTAAGCTTAAAGTGGAGTTGTTTCTTGTGGAAGACAACTCTAAAAAGTTCTCAAATAAAGCCCAGAAGAGAAAAGAGGAATTTCAGAAACTTTGTTGGAGATGATGCTTCCACTAATAAAATCATTCTACTGTGGTCTCAGGGCCATTCTTTAAACCTAGAACATCCTGCAGCTCTATGGAAAAAAGATGATTAGTATCTGCTATTTTCAAATGATGCATAAGATAATAATAATAAAGCAGGGAAGCATTCCAAAGAGGAAACAAACAAGCCTGTGGGAATAAAACCTGAAATAATAACCCAATCCAAATAATGTCCTAAAGTCACGGATCATGGCAGAGAAAATATTTGAGAGAAACCAGCTGATCTCATATATTTGTGGTTCTAAGAATCTTTTCAGAGCTTAGATGTGTGCCAGAGAGAAACAATGATTTAAAAAAAAGCATGTAAGGGGACAGCCGTTCCCTCTGCCAGGAAGCAGCTTTCAGAACAGGGCTGGCCACTGTCATTTATGGACTGGTTTTCCCAAAATCTCCAAAGAAGGGCTTAGGAGGACAGGGTAGGAAATGACCCTAGAATTGGGATTTTATAGGTTCTCAAACATTCAAAGGCCAGTAAGCGTTTTCTAGAAGGACTGATACTCTTTTTTCCACTGCAGCAGCACCAGGGAAATTTTCTGTGCTATTGACAAGTAGGCGAGATTAGCTTTATTGGTTTTCTTTTGGAGCCTAGCCTCAGGGGTAGCAAGGAAAAGCAGTGCAGGCTGGTTGGGGAGCTATATTCTCCATGGACTTCTTTAATTTCTTTAATTCAGCCTCTTCCCTCGACCATTCTTTGTCTCAGCTAACATGGCCTGGCAACCATTCCTCATGCTAAGTGCTCACAATGGCTGCTCCTTGGCCTAGAAGGCTTTTCCTTTAGAGATAAGTTTCTAGAAAGGCAGCAGTTGGGTGTCCACCTTCAGAATGCAGCACACGCGGGTGCTCTTTCAGGGTGGCGGGGCAGAACCCCACAAAGCAAGGCATGCTGATTTTGGCACATGGGACATTCCTGGGATCGCCACAGAGCACCTTTTGAAAAATGCTGCGAGGACGAGGCTAACAGGACCCGTGTGGGCATGGGGGACCTGGGAGGAAGCCAGTGCAGAACTTATGATTTTCTTTCTTTTTTTTTTTTTTTTTTGAGTTGGAGTCTCACTCTGTTGCCCAGACTGGAGTGCAGTGGCCGCTCCCGGCCACTGCAGCCTAGACCCGCTGGGCTCCGGCGATCCTTCCGCCTCAGCCTTCCAAGTAGCTAGAATTACAGGCGCGCGCTACCACGCCCAGCTGATTTTTTTTTTTTTTTTGATTTATTGTAGAGATGAGGTCTCGCTGCCCAGGCGGGTCTTGAACCCGCGGGCTCAGGCAATCCACTCACCTCAGCCTCCCAAAGGGGCGGGATTACAGGCTGAGCCACTGAGCCCAGCGAACTTATGATTTTCAAAGGGACCCTTTGCCTTGGGGTAGGAAAACACAGCGCCTTCAGGACTGTTTCATCCCCAAGTCATTGGCTGGGAAGAACACCAAGCAGGGTGGTGTGTGTGTGTGTGTGTGTGTGTGTGTACTGGGGACAGTATTGTGGTTAAATGGATATGCTTGAGAGGCAAGTAGATCTGAGTTCAAGTCCTAGCTCTTTCACTGGCTTTGCTGGGTGGCTTTCGGTGAGTTCCTAAATATTTCTGAGCTTCAGTTTTCCAACAGTTAAATAGGAATTCCAGTGGCATTGGCTGGTGAGTTGAATGTAAGGCTTCTGTGAGAAAATATGTGTGAAGGATTGATCACAGCATGTGGCATTGAGAAACTCCATAAATAAGAGAAAAAAGAGAAACAAACTCTCAGGGCCAAGGGTGTCATGGCCGTGAGTTATTCTAGGAAGATCATTGCCATTTTTTCTTCTCTCAATCCACACAGGCAGGACTGGAGAGTCAGCCACCTCTGGTTCCAGTAGCATAAGCATCCGGGACTTGTTACCTTGGTGCTCAGGTTTCAGTAAGTCCTCCAAAACTGATGAGAAAAAGGATTGTTTTTATATCTTCCTGCAATTAAGAAGGTCAAGGTGCTGGAGCTGGCCTTCTGTGTGTTAAACATTGATACTTCTGCATTTTTTTTTAAGTTGTGGGGGGTCACTCTGCCGCCCAGGCTGGAGTGCAGTGGCACAATCACGGCTTACAGCAGCCTCGACCTCCTGGGCTTAAGTGATCCTTCTCTTCAGCCTCTCAGAGTAGCTAGGACTATAGGTGCGTGCCGCCACGCCCGTCTAATTTTATTTACTTATCTGTTTATTTATTTACATATATATGTATGTACGTATGTATGTATATATTCATTTACCTATTTATTTATTTAGTAGAGATGAGGTCTTGCTATGTTGCCTAGCCTAGGCTGATCTTGAACTTCTGGGCTCAAGCAATCCTCCTGCTTTGGCCTCCCAAAATGCTTGGAATTACAGGCATGAGTCACTGCGCTTGGTCTGCAGTCTTTTTTTTTTTTTTTTTTTTAGTCAGAATCTCACTCTGTCACCCAGGCTGGAGTGCAGTGGCACGCTCATGGCCACCAAAACCTTGACCTGCTGGGCTCAGGTGATCCTTCTGCCTCAGTCTTCGAAGTAGCTGGAACTATAGTATGTGCCACCACATCCAGCTAATTTTTTGATTTATTGTAGAGATGAGGTCTCACCAAGTTGCCTAGGTTGGTCTCGAACCCATGGGTTCAGGCAATCCTCTCACCTCGGCCTCCCAAAGTGCTGGAATTATAGGCATGAGCCTGCATGCCCGGCCTGGTCTGCAATCTTAAAATGGGAAGATGACGACCAGCATTCCCTCCATCACTTGTAAGGACAGAATTCAGGCCAAAAAACTACTGCTGCAGCACAATGGATTTGGGTTGGCTCTAAAGAAACTCATGAGGCACTGGGTTCTGAGTCCCTCAGTGCCTCGGGTTCAGAATGAGTAAGACGGGATAAGCAGAACACCTAGCCCACACAGTCCTTGTACGGCTCTTGGGTGAACACACACCTCTGATGGTCTTTGACAAACAGCAAGAGCTTGGGAATTGTTACTCAGAGAGGGTTGCTATTATTATGGAAGGGACTGGTAGGAAGTTCTTCCCCAAATCACTGGCAATAAGACTGATACTTAAAAGAGAATGAATGCTTA